CTCCTCCTCCTCCTCGTCCTCCTCCTCGTCGGGTTCCTGCGCGTCGTCGCCGTAGACGTAGCCGAGCTCGGCCTCCATGTCGCCGCTGAGGTCCACTACCTCGTCCTGGGTGGCGAACCCGGGAGACGCGGCGGCCGCGGTCGATCCTGTCGCGATAATGTCGTCCATGTCGGCTCCCGTGTCGTCGGCGTCGCCGAGGTGCGAGAAGGGTAGCGGTCCGCGGTAGAGATGGGGCGTCGGTGTGGACGCGTAGGCGGCGGGCGGCGAGTAGTTGTATGGAGGGTACTGCACGCCGACGAAGGAGAGCGAGGGCGTGCGCGTAGCGGGGTGACCATGGGGGAAGGTCACGTTTAGGTTGAACCCACCGTGCACGTCGCCGTCGGCGTAGCCGGGCGACGATGAACCCCATGAAGATCCGGCGCCTTGCTGTCCCCAGGGCGCGTACTGGGCGTGGCTGACGACGGGTGGATTCATCCCCGCCTGGTCGACCGATGAGGAAGACGCCGCCGCGCGCACCGCGTTGTCGCGGGCCTTCTTGGCTATGGCCCTGTTCCGCCTGTCGGCGGTGACTGCTTCGCGCCGCTGAACTTCCACCCTCCACTCGGCGTTCGACAGGCCCGGTGGCTTCGATGGCGGCGCTCTCGGCTTCCTCTGCTTCGGCTGGGCCACGGCGCCAGTCGCGGTTGCCGCCGCGCGCGGCATTGGCGTACTTCTTCGACGGCATGGCGTGCCTCTTCGCGGCGAGCGGGAGGGGGTTTGGCGGGAGAAAGGGAGAGAATGACGGGAGAAAGGGAGAGAATGACGGGAGAAAGGGAGAGAATGGCGGGAGGAAGGCGAGCAAACGGGAGAGATGCGAGGGAAAAGCGTCAAGAAACGGCGGGAAAAGGCCCTCGGGTCGCTTCCAGGGCGGGCCCACGCGCCTTTTTCGCTTGTGCCGGCTCCCCAAGCGCCCCCTAGGGCGCCGGGTTCGCCCTGGGTCCGCCGGCACCAGTTTTGACCCGAGCCGGCGAAAAACGGGCTTTTGGGGGCGCGACTGGGGCCTTGTTTTTGGCGCCGGCGCAGCAAAATCGTCTGGAGAGGGCCTGTTGGGCACGCGGCTGGAGATGCCCTGAGGGATAGTGCGCCGATAACGCCTGTCCCGGCATCTATCTGCTCGTGGCAAGGTAACCTAGCCAGGGGAAACTTGCCCTTAAATCATTCTTTATCAGAGTTCAGGCTCCATCACAAGTGGCATGCAGATGCTGCTCGCATAACAGAGAAGCAAGAGCATCGATCGGCAGTGGCAGTGGCAGTGGCGGCTAACGAAGCTGTTTAATACGCCAATTTGGCATGTGCACATGGGAAGCCAGCCGCATTGTTAATCTAGGACTCCGAGCGTTGCCAGATCTGCACAGCAGCGCAAAGTACTATACTACAGCCCCGCTCGCGCGCAATCCAACGAGGTTGCGCGCTGTCCTCTCGTCTCCCCCTCGCCCCCGCATCTGCCGCGAGTATCGGCAAGTTGATGCGTGCCGACTGCCGCGCGCGCATGAGCGGTCCCGCTGCGTTGCGTTGCCTGCATCTCGCGTGCGTGCGTGCGTGCGTGCCGGACGGGGAAGTCGCCGCGCCCTTTCGTTTCTCGTTCGCAGCGGGGAAGTCGCCGCGCTTCTGTTTGCCGCCCGGCGATTGCAGCGATGGGAGGGTCGTCGGTTGCGTCGGCAAGGGAGGTCAACGGCAGCAACTGAGGTCGTCGTTTGTTTGTTTACCAACTTCAGAACGTAGCTAGCTAGCTGTTGGCCTGTTGCTTTCTCCCTCGGCGCTGCAGCTTTGATACGGGCGGATTACGTGCTGGGTCAAGGCTTTTCTTTTTCTTTTTCTTTTTTTGTAAAAAGACTCAGGCATCTTCAACCCCGTCCCTAGCAACGGATATACACTATTTATGGGTGATTGGTCCGAATGAGCCCGCGAACATAGATACGGGAGGCCGATCATCCAACTGCATGCCTTAAATGTCCGTTCAGGTCCAACCAATTTATTTCAAATGGTGTCCATAGCGTACGGTCACAGTAAAAAAAGGCATATGTTTATAGCTTTCACATGCGTCTAATAAAAAAAACAGTTCAACAGTTTGTGCAATAAAGACCTTTTTGCCCTCCCAGACCGCTTGTCTAAGTCTCCTCCCTCGCTCTGCCACCGCCTCCACCTTACCATCGCCTCCTTCTCAGCCACCTCTAGCACGACCGTCAAGCACTTCAACATTCTAACATGGACGGTGCGCACGATGATCGCCACATCGGCATCCAACTCGTCCATCCTCATGGCTAACATTTTGGCATCCTTCAAAGCGGCTGCGAGCTTAACACTCGTCTCTTCGAGCTTGGTCTTCTTCTCTTCGAGATTAATTTTTTTCTCAATCGCCGCCATCAAGATGTCAAACCTCTCCGCCTTTTTTTTCTCCTTCACGTCGGAGCGCTTGACTCATGCCTCCTCCTTCGCCAAGATGCCCTCGAACCACTCCATCATCTTGGCCGCCACCCCTTCTCGCTTCTCCTCCCCCTTCTTTCCCGAAATGCCCTTCTAACCTTCTTGGGTGGCTCTATCACTGGTCAGTTGGATCACCCGCTTTTTCCTCATTGCCGATGTTGACGGTCTTGATGGAATTGGCAATTGATAGTTGCACTTGGGTTGCCCATTGAATTTCAACCAACAACACATGAACAAGTTGCACGCACGGGGGAACATGTGGTATATCCGGTCAAATGGCCAACACATAGAGCATAATCCGACCAAATGACCAACACAACCGGTATGGAATAAGGTCTTCCCATCCGGTCCTCATTCCGACGATACTTCATCGTATCACTGACAGGCGTGTCTTTAGATCTGATTCTTCAGGTCTTACATTTTTTCTACAGGTTTGTTGCGGTTGCGCTGTCCTACGGAGCGGACAACATGGTTGTTCGTGTTGGTCCTCTGACTCCAGTTCTGATCGACAAAGGTTAGTCAATCTCGGTCGTCATCAGAGGGCATGTGAGGTTTATAGTCCTGACTCTGTCTTGCCAAAATTGGGGCGTTCTACTGGCCCTCTTTGTCATTTTCTTCTACAGGACGTCTATCTGATACGCAAATCGTAGGCGTCGGCGTCTAGTCCACAATGACAACTTCCAGGCTATTGCTTCTTCAATCTTCTGGGTTTAAACAAGTTTGCTCCGCTGAGACGAAGGCCCAGAGCTGACAACGGGCTTGCTCATGGTGTGCCGCAGGTAGATGCACGAGGAAGAAGGTTGCATCACCCCCAAGTATTTGGATGTATTTTCCTTTTTTGTAATTTTGTAAGGGTTTGTGCTAATTAATACATGAGCTTTGGCCTTTTTGCAAAAAAGAGACACCTGCCCCTCACATATTATGACCGAACCCTGCAGGACAACGATGCTACAACCATGGGGGTCATCTTCCCCGACAAAACCAACTGTCTCAATGTAGAATTTTGTCATCGAGTCATCACCGCTTTTTCGAAAAGACACCCAGAAGGCATGTTTTATCTAATAATTATGAAGGAAAACAGGAAACAATATAAACTAAGATAAAAACACAAAAAAAATTAAGCATACAGAACAATGAAGACTCACAAACAAACACACATACCATATAGTTCTTTTGGACTGAATTATCCCTCTCCACTCAAACTTTAGTGTTTATAGTGAAACATAAGTCCGAATCTTGTGTCGACAGCCACAAGTGGCATCAAATCTCCCCTCGAGTGAGATTATAGAGAACCTCTAAGGGCGCTCCTCAAAACTTTCCTTGTATATTTAGACA